GAAACTATTTCCCGAGGTGGCGAAGCCGCCGAGGGAAATAGTTTCCTTCCGAGGGGAACCATAAATTTGATATTTCCCGAGTACCCATTCCATAACTGTTTTATTATACCGAAACAATCATGGGAGATTTATTCAACTAGAGACTCAGACATTTCTTAAAACAATATAGAGGCAATTAAATAATCACAAATGCATGCGATTAAAAATATTGTAAGATAACTAATGCATCAATACCGAGGAAAATAAAATTATCAAAAAACATAAAATAATTTCACAGACTCTTCGAAGGATTATCGTTGTCTTCATTTTGCTAATAAAATTAGAATTCCACATATGATTTTGACATCGCATGTTGAAATGTTTTGACGTCATAGTTACATTCCTAATAACTTTACGTCACAGACTCGAGATTCCTTGAACGCTCCGCCCACTGTTCATTTTAATTGGTTAAAATTATTAATAAATATTCATGAGGGAGTAGTCCCAGGGAGTAGCTCCGATTTTTCAGGGAGTAGTCTTCAGATGAAGGAAGTAGTATCTTCTCAGGGAAATAGACAGTTTTATGGTATTAATTTTATATAGAGTAATAACAGTAGAGGTATAATAATATATATTTTATTGGCATAAAAAAATTCCTTTCAATTATATTTCATGTGAAATACTGTTATGAATACATGTACAAAAATCAATTATAAGTTTGTAGTTTAAAATGAATATTGAAATCTGACTTTCATATATCACTTTTTTTTGGAAATTTGCTAATGAAGAATTCATTACTTGAACTAAACCTTAAGTATTGTAGACGTCAACAGCAAATTTTAAGAAATTAAGTTATACTAAAATGACAGTTGCCTCAAAAGCCTTTATTGGCAGAATTTTGGGTGTGTTGTTTGAATGCATGTAATGTTAACTGTATGTTTATTACTGTAAATCACCAAAATTTTGCAACACCTTATTTTCGAAAGATAGGTATTGGATATTTTTAAGCGCTACAAAATTTCAATGAAATTTGGTTAATGGTACACATTACCTATATTGATAAAAATATACGCGAGAATGAAATTTTGGCGAGTCGACCGTCTAGCGTAATTACGCCAAAATAAAGTTCTCGCGAATAAAGACTGATTTACAGTATGCTTCCTGGTAATCCTGATATTAAATACTTATTATACTGATTCTCAATTATGATACAGAAATTACGGTACTGAGAAAGGTCGAAGGTTGAAAAGTCTGATTAGTCTTTCTTTGAATCTTCTGTAACCACAATAAATTTGGTGTCAATTTCTGCATTTTTTCATGCAGACAACCAAATTATACATATGCTATATTTGGATTCCTTCAATTGAAATAAAACGTTCACATTTTGTCACGCAAAGCATGTCAATACGAAAAAATACAGATGACAAGATAAAGTACAACAAAAACATGTGGTATTTTTCTCCGTTGTATTTCATTCAAGATGAAATTCACCATATGATTTATATAGGGCTACAATGTTTTAACAGATTGATGATGTTGAAAAAAAACCGTGAAATATTTTAAGATCTTCAAGATTAATCAAGTAGTTTTGTTATAATTCAATCAACCTTTTTCCAAAAAAAAAATTGCATTTTTCAAAGGTCCTATCCTTTTTATTACATAAATTTTTTCACTGTGAAATTTTTTCAAAATAATTTAAAGGTGTTCAGGCATACATTGAGTGTAGCACCTTTATTGTGTTTTAATGCACGATTTTCTTTCAAGTATAGATTTTAAGATTAGATCTGTTGTTATATTGGTGGTCATATTTCTTGACTAAGACAAAAGAGAACAATATACATGAAGGTTTTAACTAATGATATATGATCATATTTTTTCCCCCTGATATATGTCATTTCAAGTATTTTCTAACAAGTATTGAAAAGGAAAATATTTTCCTTCTGTTGGGGAAATTTTTCACTGTATGTTCATAAAGTATGCAAATATATTTTACTTTTTTGACATTATTTAGCAATGCAAATAATATATACTAAGGTGATATAATTCTTTTTACAAAAATGTCACCGAAGCTATTGAAAAGAAAAAGAAAAAACTTTTTCGTACGAAAAAAAAGATATTGTGCTTTCATGAAAGGACATTGAGAACTGTTTAAAATTCATTGAAACACAAGTCAGCTATATCTACGAGACGAAAGAACATAACGCACAAAATAAGGTCAATGCATTTCTTTTGAGAAATTAAAGCAGTATAAACCTTTAAATACTGCATAATAGAAAAGAATAACTTCTGTCTTCAAAAATTGTATAAAAAATAGCAACTTCTCCCTGCAAATTTGTACCTCATGACCCGTTAGCTTATATATATTTATTGCTGTAAATTTTACACTTGATATTTTTATTGTCTTAAATTTAGCACTTGATATTTAGGGTTTATTTACAATAAGCACACACCTATATTCCAACTAAGTATTGAAACTATGTGTTATAACAAAAATAGACATTTAAGATTTCTTAACTATATTTATTTCTTTTTAATTTTAGGATTTTTGACCGCCTTATGAGAATAAGTCATTCTCATACTTATAAACAGCTGTGTAGGAGAGACTGCAGGAAAACTGTACAACAATGTATTTGAGAAGTGGTGTAAATCAGATGTGGATTCTTAAAAATTCCAGGGAACGTTTGGAAAATTTGAAATCACAAAATTTTAACAAAATCAATGATATCAAAACGTTTGACTTTTCAACTCTATATACAAGCATTCCCCACGATAAATTAAAGCCCAGGCTTTGTCATTGACATGCAGCTGCTTTTTCAATAAAAGTGGAACTCGTAAATTTACTTACCTTGTCATTGGACATTTGCAAAATTATATTTTTTAAAAACATTCTGATTGTACACAAAAGTACTCTGAAGTTGATATAAAAAAGATGCTTGAGTTTCTGATTGACAATATCTATGTGATTTTTGGAGACCAGGTCTTCAAACAATCTGTTGGAATTCTCATAGGTACCAAATTGCGCCCTGTTATTAGCAGTCCTATTTTTTGCATTCATATGAAGCAGTATTTATTCAAAATCTTATACTTGAGAAGAAGAAAACACTTGCTGTGGCCTTCAACTCGACATTTAGATGTATCAGAAAATCAGTCATTGAGTCAAATGCTGACTGACGTTTTTTCATACTAATTATTAGGCCATTATTTACACACTGTATTGTCTATGGATTTCACGATCGTGGCGGGTGTAACCTGTAGTCAGGGGATGCTCACTCCTCCATGGCACCTGATCCCACCTCTGATGTTTTTGAGGTCCGTGTTTGCTCTGCTCCTTAATTTGTATTGTTTGGACCTCTGAGCTTGAATACTTTTCGTTATATTCATATATTTCACGTATTAAAATGTATCTTGATGACAAATCAGTCATGTTATTCCTGTTTCTGTCCTTAGTCGTATTGTTCCTTTAACTTGATTTGCTTCAAACATTTATGAAAATAAGGACTTTTGTGTCAAGAATTTCAGGTTTCCAGGTCTAAATGTTCATATGAGGTACATTCAAATTTCGTCATTAAGAATTTCTTCGGGCGAGTTGACAAAAGATTATGTTGTCTTGGAGAGAAAAAGTGCTAATGTTTTACTTTATTTAAAAAATGAATGTAGTTTCTTTTTTTTTTCTATGTCAAAAAGAAAAGTATTAAAGATATTTTTCTGTTGATGAAAATGCGCAATCGTTAAAACGTTAGGGAAAAATAGGAAAAGGGCTGGATTTAAAAGGGAAATTCCCTTTTCAAAAATCGTTAAACCTTACAGTTTTATTGTGTCATTATTTGCTTTTTCAAAAATAAAGGCTTCAGTTAAATATTCTCTGCCTAGACTTGCACGGTTTTCCTTCATATATATCACTTACAGTGGAGATTTAAACGCAATCAGCGTTTCACGATACACTTTGTTAATAAACCAACTAAAATTGTAATGTTTTCATGATCAAGAATATCTAAACATCCCTTTCCATCAGGTTTTCTCCTATTTATCAGTTGAATTGCATATTAAGTAGTAAATTATGGCACCAGTGATAATAAAGGAAAACACACAGAGTGAGTTTGTTGGTTCGTTGCGGGTAGAAAATATTTCTACATGTACTTTAACAGCTGTTTTCTGAAATACGAGTACACATTAATTCAGAAACAGCTGTAACGCAGCTTATGTAAGAATGAAAAGTGTGTCAATCTATTAGAATAAAAGATTACCACAAGTAAAATTTGTGTTTTATGATACATGTAATAGTTTAATTTAAAAAATAAACAACAAAAAACTAAAATTCTACAAATTTGACATGAGGTACTAAAATTAAAATATAATGAGTCAACAATTTCAAAAAAAAAGTTCATTTAAATACACATTCTCGCAATAACCAATAAAAAAAAATGTAGGAGAAAGAATGGTATGTAAAAATGTTCAAAATTATGTACCTAGTGTGAAAACTCAAAAAGAAATGTTTTAAAGAAGATCATACGGACAAAAGCAACATCTTTCAAATTACCTTAACGATGGTAGCAACTCTGAAATCGCCCAAAACCACTGAGTCGGCCTTGTAGTTGTATCGGTATTCGTATCCATGTCATAATTATAACCGACAGTGCCTCCAAAAAGACAAAAGAATAAAATACTACCGTAAATAACCAAACTGTTACTGATGAAAACCATCATAGCGTCATGAGAGCGGACGTTTCATGTTAAAGCGCTATACGTCTATTTGGAATAAAACAAGGCAGTAAAATTCGTGCCAAAACCGTTCTCTCGGACCTTTGTTCACAGTTTGAATCCGACTATTATCCCTTTAAACGTATTTGTGCAGTTCTACTAAATTGGTGTGGAAATATGTACTTGAATTGTTCTAAAGTGAAAGAAAGGAAGTCTAAAAAGAATCTATAATTAGAAGTCCGACTGTTTAATTTTCTAATTGGGCCAGATTTGTTACACGAAATGCATATATATGTCGATTGTTTGTAAGCTAGGAGCAAGCCATGTTAGATGTACATAGACTTTTGTTTTGCCTGTGTCTGTTGGGAATAGTGAGTGGAAATGAATCTTTTACCGAGGAATATAAAACAATAGAGGAGGATACCGGGAGGGAACTAACGGTATCCACTCAAGGACGACTACGAAAGATACTGGACTTGGATGATAAGAGTACCGTTGCCGTAAGATTTATACTTTAATTATCGATATGTTTAACAGTCACAAGATTTTAAATTGGTTCTTGGCGATTATGGCAATTATTATAAAGATTTTGTCTTTTTTTTAATTTTTTGTGATAAAAATTCACTTGCAATCAACCATAAGTACTTGACTTAAAATTGAATATAAATTTTTAACCTATGGTCCAAAAGTATTTAACTGAAACAAATTTTTCCTCAGTGTATTATACAATGTATAGCAGGAAATTTAATATTGTTGTAAATGTGTTTATATCAATACTTAGAAAAAGTGCAATAAGATTTAAAAATCAGCACATCCCTACTTTGAAAAATCGACAACTTTTTCTGATTTACGACCGTCGTTCAAGACAATCTCTCAACTTCCTTATGTATACGTTTGTTGTAAATCATTTACCAAGCAGTTTCAAACACATGCGTCATTTTCAATCAATATGATATAATAGTCATGGTACAAGCAATATGAATCAACATGAAAAGTATTTATTCTCTTTTTCAAGAACATTTTAAGCTCTTTAAAACGAAAGTAGTTTTTTATTAATGAAAATTATTCTATGTTTGAATGCTTGAAATTTATTTTTTGTAATCTTAATGGATCTCAATCTGAACTCTTTCGATTTCTAAACAGAGGTAAATTATTGACAAACAAGTTGATGAAACAAGAATATCAGCAGTCTCGTTTAAAGTCATTTCGTAAGTTCTATGGTCGATACAATGACCTTGACAGCAAATACAATTTATCATTGAGTCAAATGCTGACTGGCGTTTTTTTATACTAATTGTTAGGCCATTATTTACACACTGAATTGTCGACGGATTTTCCCGTTATTTCCCGATCATGACAAGGAGCACACGGTGGGTGTGACCGGTCAGCAGGGGATGCTCACTCCTCCATGGCACCTGATCCCACCTCTGATGTTTTAGAGGTCCGTGTTTGCTCTGCTGCAAAGTTTGTATCGTTTCATGGACTTTTAAGCTTGAATACTGTTCGTTATCTCCATGTATTTCATTTTATGCTTGTAAATTACCGTTTTTTATATTAATACTACGAAATTAAGGGGGGGGGGGTTTCAATGTTTGTTTAAAATTTTGTTCGTGATGTACTAAGCCCCTAAGAGAAGAGATGTGTTTTACATAATTGTCAGTCTGTCTGGCAATATTGTTTTTTTGCTTCATCTTGTAGTATTTTCTCTAAATTTTAGATAAAATATATAAAACTAGAAAATTTCAAAATATTGCCTTAAAAAAACTGAGTTATTGCCTCATTATGTGATCAAATGTTTTGTAAGTAGGTATGCATATCTGTGTACATAATGTGTATTGTGTCAAATCAAATTAAAAATTTTAGAAAATATATAAGATGGTCCATGATCCTTTTCTTATATGCTACGTTACTTTATTATATACCCAACTGTTTGTCACTCAGTTTTACTGTTGAATTTATGCAATCACGTGGCACGATAAAGAACCCTCACTGCTCAAAGGCCCTGAATGCCGATTATAGGTCTAAATTTGAAACCCTTCACCGACATACAATGACGTCCCTATACCAGTGAAAAATTCTCGAATGGGACGTTAAACACCATTTAATCAATCAAGCAAGCAATTAATTTATAACAACTGAAAAAAACTTGTGTACGAAAAACTTAAACATCTAATATTACTGTGATTTGTTTAAAAATGATTTAGGCCCTAAAGCACAAAAGTAAAATGTTTTTTTCTTAAGCTTGCGCTTACTGTGTTCTATGCTCATTTTTCATAGAAAACAATGTGCAGAGATTATTTAATTAAAGTATCCTTTGTCTCTGGAACTTCGGGAAGTGAATGGAGGATAGGAGACGTAATTGTGGGTAGTGCATCCCTCGGATGTCATCTCAAGTTCACAAAAGTGGGGGAGGGAGTCCTTGGAAAAATTGCAAACATTGAGGAGAAAAGAAAAGGACTTTTGTATATTACGGTAGATAATGCAAGGTTGGTGTGCTCAGTCTAATTGTTAACGATGATACTCTACGTACTGAACCTAAAATGATACAGCAACTCTTCTTCTTGTACAATAGTAAAGGCATTATTATTTTAATATCTTTAGCCCATTGGATATACTGGAAGAAGCAGACTTATCTGTTCATGTGAGACATCGCTCAAAAAGAAGCAACACAAATTTTCTGTCGAACATTTTGGATAGCATCAATTGGGAAGAAAGAACAAATACAACAGTTGAATTAAACCCAGAAAGAAAGCCTTTCTCTCTGCTGAAAATGGTCAATAACCCAGAACCGGAAGTTCTGGTATACAATTCAGCAAGCCAAATTAAAAATTCAACAGGGACAGAGTTCAATTTTACGTGTTCTACTTGTTTTGGAAAGATTGATCTATCATACCATTTGTAAGTACTGCAAAGAGAAAATCAGTTTTTTAAATGCACCTCATGTATAATATAGAATTATAATTCAAATTAAAACCAACCTAACCCTATCAAAATATTTTCACAGAGAAATGAGAATAAGAAGAAACCAAACAACCAACAAGCCTATTATAAATTCCTACCTTTCTCAGATAGAAGGCACGTCTACAAATTACTATCAGTTTACAATTGAATCTCAAAGAGAACTGTCTCTCAAGTTAGAAAGGAAAATTATGGAGACAGCTCCTTCTTTCCTTCATCCGATACAACTAGCAACTTTCAAAAGATTTCCCACAATACATCTGGCTATCAGTGTCCAATCCATTTCTAATTTGTCTGCGGATGTAATAACCATGTCCTCAAAGGAGATGAAAGTCGACGACTCCTTCCAAACATCGGGGGAATTCGTCGTATGTGAGTACATATGAGTTCAAAACAAAGGAAATGTAATTGTAAGATTTTTGAAAGAATCTTTTCGACAAATTTTTCGTGAAATAGAATATATATAGTTACTCTGTATAATAATGTTGGTTATGTACAGATACCCGATGGGCTTGGTCATAATGACGTGAGAGAGCGTAATAACTGACTTGTACCATAGTATTGTAAAATTGATCATATCTAAGTCTTTTACGTGCAGTTACGAATTTTAACTGACATGAGTTTTTGAAAAATGTGCTTTTTTCAATGAAACATGTTGATTTGACTTTATTTTTCGTATATCTAAAATGTCAAAATCAAATAATTCAAACTCTTTTTTAAACGTAATTGATTTTTCTTTCCTGTTAACTTTTACCTATCCTCCTCGTGCATGGTTGCACATAGGGCCTTCTTTTATATAAGATTTAAAACATTTAATAATGTAAAGGAATTTATATATTTAGAGTAGATGCAATCAAACTCAATACGCAAGTTCGAGATTACCTCCCTTGGTACGCTCTTTCGTTGGGGGGGGGGGGGGGTTTCCCGCGTAAACCGGCAGGTGGAACAGTTATTACTATGAAGTAATTACTAATTAAGTAGAAATGTAATATTGGATACGTTACATCATCGATATACCGGTCTGTCATAACTGTGTTGGGATGCACTCATCAACTCGAAAATTACCGAATTCGATTAAAGGCGTCATTATTTCTATCGGGGAAAAAAGAAAATATCAGTGGATGACACCAGACGAGGGAAGAGACATTGATCTCTAATACACAGGCATCTGATCATTGCACTTCGGCATTCTGAATGACACACCGACTCTTTCCCTTATAATAATTTCAAAGAGTGTACTAACTAAAAAAAAGGTTTGTACAATCAAAGAAGCATCTTTTTCACAACGACTATGACTGGTCTTTTTTTTCAAGCATTCTAATTATACAATATAATCATTAAAATCATCACTGCTTGACATCATATGTACATGTATGAATAATCTTTCTATAACATTAAATACATTTTAAAAGCCGTAGTCATCGCTCATTTATTTTTGAACCTTTGTGTATATCGACATCCTGTCCCACTTCCGTGCTGATATGGATGCTTTTTGCGCCTCTTTCGTTGGAAAGCTACAACTTCGAGACGTGCGTACATATATTACAGTGTATTTAAGTATATTTTGATTTTATGTACCAAATTTTTTTGGTAGGTTATAAATAGAACGATATTGGAATCATTTAAGAAATACCAACGATATCAAAACCAATACTAATAAAAACTTGTCATGAGAATATTTATTTAGAAAAAATGAAAAAAAAAAAAATAATCAAGCGATTTCTGCACTTCTTTTCATTTGTTAGTGAAAGTCTAAGTCTAAAATACAACTTTCAATTGATAATGATCGTCTAATGCTTTCTATAATTTATATTTTTTGCTCTTGAATTTTGTGCATCTAGGCGGATGATTGTTCAATTAAAAAAAAATGTGGCTTGGTTCTTTGAAATGCTCTTTAGTCCTGGCTTGATGATTGGAGTTTATAAAAAAAAATGTGCATTATATACAGAAAATCCACACTCTGAACAAATAAAATCACACCTAATTATGGTACAATGAAAAAAAGATAATAATTTCTAGCAAAAAGAACTCATGTTTAGAGAATAGAAAAAAAAATCAAGTCATTCAAACTTTGTAGGTCAATGTCATACAAAGTCAGGTGTCAGTTCGTCTATCTGTCTTTTTGTCCCTTGATCTATTTGAAGGTAACCCTGTTCACTATTCAAGCACATTTTATGAAAATAAAAATTTATTTTTTAAATGAAATTTTTTTAAATTAATAAAAATTTTAAAATTAAATTGACAGTATTTATATTCTTTTAACCGATTCCTATTTTGTAGTACACAAATATACACAATATATAAATATCCTTATATCTTAAATCGTTCTCTTTGCAAAATTATTGATGACCTTTTAAACCTCAGATTGAATTTCATTTACATGTAAATCCCACTTTGAATGATAAAGGTCAACTATGAAGTTCTTAATTACTGACAAAAGAAAATGCATCGGGTTACACTGTTGACAATTTTTTTGGGTGTGTATTCTGTTATTCTAAAAAAAAAAAACAAGAAAAGTTCTTTAAAATTATCAATTTACGATCTACCTGATTTATCCCAGCATTGCATTTCAATCCTCCAATTTCATTGATAAAAGGACATTCAAAATAATTTTACACGACAAAGGTTCAAAATAATAATAATAAAACATAACCGATCTTCACAGTTTTTAATTGAGACAGATTTATCAGGGTTCATTCTCGTGCACATTCTTGGAAATTTAAACGTAAAGATAATTTTAATTTTTGTCGATTTTTGACTAAGGAAAAAATGTTTTGTTTTTTTTTAAATTTAACTGTTATCGTCAACATTTCTTTTTGAAATATCAAATAACACTATTTTAAGCAATGCATTTAGATGTACATAAGTTTTGTAGAAAAAAAAATGAGGTTTTTTTAAAGATTGTTTTTTCATACATCAAACAAATTTTACCAAAATTACAGGCCCTGTCACTTTTATGTCAATTAGGTAATGAAATCCTAAAATACATCATTAAAATTGTTGTAAAATTTTGCTACTAACAATTGAAACTAGAGGTATTAGTAAGCTCACAAAACGTTACCCCCACTCCCATATGGATATAATGGCAAAGTCCATTTTTTGCTACGGGAAAGCCCAAATACCTTTCCGATCAAAATATACAGCAAAAGGTGGAAAATAGCACTATGTAATAAAGATTCTGTGAGAGTCTCATTATATATTATTCAGTGGTATAGGAGGAGTTGTAGATAAGAGAAGGACGGACGGAAGAACAGATCTAGAGGGACGCACATCCCATCACTATACTATAATTAAAGAATTAAAGAGATTAATTAAAGAGAAACTGAAATATCTATGATTGATAAAACTAATATTCATGTTCTTGAACCTCCCACTAACTACCCCACCTTTTCTCTCTCTCTCTCTCTCTCTCTCTCTCTCTCTACTCCTCTGTTTCTCTCTCTCTCTCTCTCTCTCTCTCTCTCTCTCTCTCTCTAACACTGATTACACGTAAATTTTATATGCTGTTGTTTGATAAAAAGACAGGAAATAATGAAATCATTTTTAATTTTTTATATAATATGTTTTGAAGCATTTACAGATTGCATCTTTAAAGCCAGTAAAAGCGAGAGTTTATGTTCTACTTATAGCTAATCAACACAGTCAGCACAATGGTCCACCAACAAATCATCTCACGACATCTGATTGGCAGATACAACACAGCCCACGTGACGGAGTACTGTCCAATGATTCATTTTCTATTCAGATCAGTCTTTCTCATGAGGTATGTATGATTTGCAAGAAAAATCCAATTTAAGATTTTTAAATGTACAATTTTTTTACTTATGTCATTGCTGAAAACATTTTCTTAAATCAGATTTTCATAAAACCGTATATTGAATGGAGAGAGCGAGATATTCGATTAGATTTTGGATCACCGTTTACCCTAAGGTTAGACTTTTGTACGTTACTGGAATCTATATATCTAGAATAAGTATACCTTTTTAATAAGTCAAAAGTATCATTGGAGAAAAAAAATCATTCATTTCGTAGGTTAATTCAGGAGTTGGATGTGATGTCATCAATTTCTGATGTATCCCTGTGTACAGATATGGTAGCTCAGACTACAAGTATGTTCGTCACAGGAAAGAATTCCCTGGTTGTAGATGCATTTGGGATTCCAATATGGTACATCCAACATACCTTCATTTTATATTCCCACTGTAAATTAAGATTTGTTCAATCATAACACTCTTGGTAATGAAAGTATTCATATGCCCCTATATGTCTTTTGATAGAATGTATTTCATTTAAAAAGGGGAGATGTTTCAACTTTATCTAAAGCTCAAGTGACGAATTCCTCTTTAATTCAGCAAAATTTATTCAATAAATGTCGTGCAAATTGCTTTGGAACTCAACAAAAATCTACGAGGACAATAAACGTATGTGGTTCAACAGAAGACGTAGTGCTTCGAAATTCGTCATCATTTTCTTCGTACGTATACCTTTTTTAGCATTAACAATGTTTTACATTTGTTCGGGATATAAATTAAAACAAATATTTAACAAGCTTGTCGTTTTAGCACAAATGTGCAAGTACAATGTAATTTCTTATCCCATTTGTTTCGTCAATTTAGTTTGCGAAAATTATTTGGTGACTCGATATTATTCCTATCGGAGGAGTCGAGCGAATCGTCGTGGTGTGGACATCCAGGAAATCCCTGTACCGACTGTGCGGACTACTTTCAAGATGATAACGTCTGCTCTGATAGATACGTGACTCCAACTCTCGCAGAAGTTTTAACAAAACTATCAAAATTGGTTGCTGCTGAATGGCCAAACCGTAAGCTTTTGGTTCTCGAAGCTTGGGACGAACCTACATCCGCACATCCACTTGGTAGTCATGGTAATCAGTCTTTGTTTTATACTGGGAGAGCAGCTCGAGTTGCGCTAAGCAAAACCCTCACTAGTAAAGAACCTGAAACTAACGAAGATATATTCCGAAGATTAGAGGAATTACTCCAGTGTTCTGATGTCGATTTTTTCGACATATTCACAAAAAATTCTATCGTTGACATTTGTGTTTCTGATGATTTGGCGTCTATATTTACAAACCAGGACGAAAAGAGAAAGAAAAGAGCAGTGAACTCAAACAACATCGCTCAAATCAACACCTGGAGAGAAGAAAAGGACAAATATGACGATCATTTATTTAGTCTAGGTTGGTAAATGTCTATGTATTACAGAATTTGAATATATTTTTAATATTCCTATTCATATGAAATCGATAAAGATAAATATTTAAAAATCAGTGGTGTATGTCGTTATAGTATTTAAGAGAACTTTTTTTTTAATTAAGACATTGTCATAATACTGATACAGGGTATATTTTGCCTCTTTCACTTTCGTCACAAGAGGGCGAATTTGATATGGGATATATCCTAATAAAACAGAGGTTTCTATTTAACACAACAGTACGTGTCTTGGCAAAGCCGTTTGGAAGTGTGGTAGGGCGAAAATAATCCTGTATATTGTATACATTTCGAGACTAAATACTGCGGTCTATGTTCTAGTTAGTGCAAAAACACTTGGCTCTACCTCGAAGGATTACTTCGGGAGTGGGAAATATTACCCACAGGGTAAAACAGCGGATGATGTGTGTGGAAAAGCTGATGAAATATACAGTATAGAAAACCTGGAACAGATGCAGCGGTGAGTATATTGTCAGCAGTTAAAAGTAAGTCCATGTTAAGTTTTTTGAAGATGAATATTACTGTGCAATCTTGTACATCTTTCATTAGAAGTCCAAATAACAAATATGGTTTGGTAGTTCTGATACAATTCCTCAAAAACTGTCTTTTCCCAATTATACTTCCTTGAAACATTTGATATATAAAAAATAATTAATATAGCATACTATTTGATTGAATCATTCACAGATTAGTTCAATATCCACTACAGAACGTTGAGTTTGAACCAGAAGGAGCGAAGACGTCATCTTGTGGAGCGTTGACCCGGGAATGTAATCAGTGTAAAGATTATAAGGACGTTGATAATCCCTGGGATTGGTGCTTGACCTGGACCATGAATACTAGAGCTGTCACGAGACTGCGGAGACTGGTGAAATTAATAGAAGACGATACACAGAGTAAGCAGTAGTTTCCTCTCATGATTGTAAGCTTTTTTAATCAATGAAATGTCTGCGTGATTAACTCCATCTTGCATCCCGAAATAGTTTAGGACTTGTAAATGATTCGGCAGATGAAACAGAAATTCAGATTGCGAATATTAATTGTGGCGGACTGTCTTCGAATTGGCGACTTACAAATACAGGATATCCTTGGGATGCATTAATTAGAAATATGTTTTAAAAGAATTGTGTTGTTAGTTCGTCATATCGTCTATAGTCAGTTAAATACTCAAATTTGATACAGATTTAAAGAATTGAAACGTTTCAAAAAGAAGGAATTAATTCAAGAGCAGATACGACGGATTTAAGTGTGCAATATCAAAATTCCGCAAGTAACGAAAGATCAGGAATATATGGTGACCATCAAGTTACTTTGAAAATTCAAGTCTGATAACATATACTTTTACAAACTTATGCTTCACTAAAGATGATATTTCAAGATGTGAGAATTTTAGGGTCCTGCCGATATGGCATGTGAAATAGTTCCATGCTCATGCACCCGTTCCCTATTGTGAGCATTTTCTACATCAAATTCAAACATTTAATCGATAAAAAAAATATGTTAACCTTTACAGCTCATTATATCCGATCGAAGTATTCAAAGCAGAAATGATGTGATGAATGATATTTACATGTATTTCATAGGATCATCACTAGGAATGACAGACGAAGAACTCGGTGTTTGTCGATCTGGAGTGGTGCTGTTTCAGGATCTTCAAAAGTGTAAAGAACTGATGCCAAGCTCAACCTCCGACAAAGAAACTAAATGTGTTAGTAATAAGCCTGACTGTCGTATGTCTTTCTGTCGTAAAACTATCGACATTTGTCTTCTATTTATGTTCTATATATTGTGTAATTGAACATCAGCATATCAGAGATACTTTTGTGTTAAGTTAATGTTATGTAAAAGCAAATCCTGAATTTTGCATGACAAAATTTCACTGCTAGTACTGATAAACATTTTTGTTGACATTTAGTACAACTGCATAAAAGAAACCCGTTGTTGCTATCTCAATGACAAAATAGGTTGCATGAAAAATGATTGTTCTGGAGACCAAAGTGCCAGTGTATGGACACCAATTACATGTAAAGGTACGTTTATTGATAATGCATTATGGGAAGTAAGTACACGAGAGTCCCGCTGTGTTTTACTGCCTTTGAATGACTCGACTGCACTTTCCATTTCGGTTTCGAAATTTCATTTTCCTAATTAAGTGTTGGTATTGCTTTTCTCTTCTGGATAAAATTTGCCAATTTTTCAAAGCTTTCTCTGATAGAGCTGAGGGTACCTATTTACTCCATAGACTTTACATGGACAGTGTTCATTGTTTCAATGTAATGATATCGTTGGAAAATATTTATGAATAAAGCCAGTAAGTTGAATTTCATATTTTGTAAAAAGATACATATCGCCTGTTTGATCAAAGAAATAAAAACGGTACACGGTTTTATTTTCATAATTTAACCAAAATCCAGGTCAATTCTTTTTGTTAAAAAAATTGAAAATGACGTTGCATGCTTCATGTTTAAACTCCTTTGTAGAACCAAATCCTTTCGCGCCTGATGTTACCATCCCTTCAACTCCAGGTAAATTTTACAGTTTTTAAAGTTACTTAATGATTAATATTTCTCAGACCTTTGTGCTTTGCAAATGCCTTAGTATGACAAGTACAGTGTATGTAAATGAGTTTACAAGGTTGTTCAAAAGCATGTACAACTTTACATTCTCTCTTTAGCGTGTAATCAAGGTGACGATTCGAAAATGATTCTCTACGGAAATGTATGCTCAGGTAAGTACAAATTTAATTTTCTTGAAATTAAAAAGATTATTTTGTATTTTGAACACATTTTAGTTACATCTTACAGATGATATGTTTTCAAACAGGCGACCCTTGTCAATTCTTCTCTGGAAAAGAATATCATTTACTTCTCAAAGTAATAATGATATTCGAAGTTTGTTCTGGGAAATGGGATCAGGCTACAATGGATTCAGACATTAAGAACTTGAATGTCAGGGAAGGAAACCTGATGGCGTTCTTGTCTTCGTGTATGGGCAGTGATAATACTATCCTCAAAATTCACAACCCTATTCCTAATGATCCAACAATTGGTAAGAAAATTAACATAATTTATCATTATAATATTAACATATAAGGATAGTGTTTACTCAGAGGACAAAAAATCCCACTGTTAAAAATGGAAAACCACTTTATGTACATTGTAGACCTATGATTATAGTGATGTTATTCACCTTCAAAAAACTAGGTAAATGACCTACTTTTTACGCTAGTGGCCCCTAAGTATTTATCAGTAAAAACCTCAATTTTGTCACACTATGATCAATATTTTCTTTATTAATAAAATACATGTATAATAAGTAAGAGAACTCTTCAGATAATAAAATAAATTGGAAATTGGACAAGTGTTGCTAAATATACATAAACAACTAGAGGTTGAGCAATAAACCTTTTAATATTCCAGTACGAATTTCCTCGGTCAATTTTCAAATTTTTACCGATTATAATTAATCTATTTTTACAAAAATCTGAATGAGAACTCTAAACTATTTATAGCCCCGGTTTACTTATATTGCCCTTATTCTGGTGGTTTGGAAATTATATGACGTCAATACTAAAAATCTTGAGATATCTTATCTGGAATGGTTTTTCATCGTATTTTTGATATTTTTTTAATGAAAGAATGTTTTTATGCAGACAGTTGCTAATGGGTTGTCACAATTATTTCTTAATGTCTTAAAATGGGATAAAATGAAGTAATTCATTTCATTTCTAGGAATCGGTTACAGCCTTCGTGAAGCAACAGATTCGACAGAAAAGAAAGATTTTCTATTGGAAACAATCCCAAGCCTGGATTATAACAAAATAATGAATGGAGAACAAACAATAACAAAAGAACAAGCACTTTTCCTATATGATGTAAGTTTTTGTTTTTTCATTTTGCAAAGGAAACAAACACTTGTTCCATCAATTTTTGTTAGAACAATTTGTACCATTAATTCTAATTTTATATTTACAACACGTTATTTAAAAAACCCACTTACATAACACTAAGCAATGCGTTTAAGTCAACACAAAACATACATAAAATACTATAACGTATTCAAATATTAATGGAAGTGCAATTTGATATTTCTGAGAGATTGTTTTTAAAGAGAACAATGAGAAGGCACATTATAAGAAGCATCAACAGTATCGTTCCTTTCAAAATATTCGTACATTTGGACACGGCTACGAAAATTGCCATCATCAATGCAAGGTATAGAGGGGAAATTTCTGGAACTCTTAAAAAGAAATTTAACACTGCTGTCAGCAATGGCCAGTGGGCAAATGCTGCAGCTATTTATATCAGCCACCCAGAGTACAAGATTAAATACAAATGCACGACAACCGGCAAAGGAAGTATATGCACTAGAATGAAGTGGAATGCCGAACAGTTCCAAAAACAAGTTTGGAAACCAGGTTACTTCCAAATCATAAATTTCAAAAACAACAAATAAATAATCTGGATTCAAATTACTGTGGTTAGAGAATGTTGATATATTTTATTAATTTGTTTATTATACCAGATTTGTAATGTTTTTAATGTTTTGTTACATATCAGTGAAGGTATCCAAGACTGATCCGCCTCAAGGAAAGAGATCGACTGGGACGACCCTGTCAGCTGTTGGGAGGTGCATTTTAATTTTCATAATACGCAGCACAGTTAAGGCTGCAATAAGGAGCGGGAGGGCCTAATTTTTACGGGAAATGCTTATTATGACATCACACATAAATACATGTTCTTCAAGTTACCACAAAATGAAATGATACGCTACTTTAAACTGTTGGATAGCTTTAAACTACATCAATACTTACTATTGAATGTATTTTTGTCGTTGGTTAAATCCCACACAGCAATGTATAAACAATTTACTGATTGCAATGCACTTGTCAATGTGACGTCATATCGTAAAATTTGACGCAGTTTGCATGCAGTGAGAGGCGGATCAAGCTATATTTTATACAATGAAAAATGTGTTTTGTAATTAAATAAAATATTATTTGCAGATATATAAGAGGCCATTAACTTGGATGCGATGTCTATTTTATGATTTTATTCATATACTACCCATACATCCCCTAGACAAGTGAAACTGCCGTACATTTGTATGCAGATTTATTGAAGGGTAATAGAAGGGTCGTAATAAATCGATATATTGCAATGGCATACTCTCAATGAATTACGACAAGCTTTTACGCATATACTCAAGAAGCATGAAGATATTTGAAAAGTGCTGCGAACCTGATGAAATCTTGCAAATGAATTAATTATATCCACATTTAACGTACTTGACCACAAAATATTCAACATACGGTCTAACAAATGTAATTTTAGCAATTATATAGCAGAATCTATATAGGTTCGCAGCACTTTTCACAAACTACAAAGAGTGTTGAAAATAACTATAAATTAAACTTAGATTTTTAACTTGGTTATGCCCTTGCAATACTGGAATTTATAGATGACCTCAAGACTGCAGGTATATTTGCTAAAATCACGTGACTGCAACATTACGTGACAAATCTAAATAAAAAAAAAATATAAACGTCCTCAACATGTAGTTTTCAGCCACACTACATTTGTCCGATAATAGTAAAGGCCTTAAAAGAATCGCCCATCCTTGTAAAGAATGTACTGTCTAAAAAATTCGCCGATATTTCCATTTGGCACCTTAACTGTACTGCGTATTGAATCCAATTACTAACTTATCAAAACATATCTGGTATCTTTTTTTTAAAGAATTATTTTTGAAATATTTCTCTTTGGAAAGTATTATAATTCATTTGTGAGATATTTAGCTATATCCAACAATACTGCTATTTTATTTCACAGATCATTGAAAATATCAGTCAACACAGGCTTGTCACTGAGCAACAGTAAACTGGCGAATCTCGCCGTTCTCGCGGGATTCGATCATGTGACAAAGGAGTCCAATCATATTATAGTCAGCGTGCGACCAGCTACTGGTGTTAATACTGTCATAGTGAATTATCCAAACCTGAACATGCACGAAACAGAACCCCCAGCAAAGGACACAGTAGAATACGAAATATCAGCAGAGGCAGATTATAGTTTAATGTATCCCCTTCTTTTAGATGGATTTAATGATTCAATAAAACTCTCAGATTGTTATCGAATAGCCGATTTAAAAGTACAGAAATATAGATACTTTAGATTTGACGTAAAACTGTTAGAATGTTTAGAGGATGCCAGTAGTCATTATGGTGGATGCATAAAGGTTATACCTGGTTCTGGATATCGGGTAAGATCCGATAACAATAGAAATATTGAATTAAGACATTCAGAAGAAAGATGGCGGTTTTCAGTAGGCCAAGCAGTAGAAGTTGGATTAGAAATGTCGCTGAAAGAACTATCGAATCTTGGATTAACAATTATCAGATCATGTGTAAAAAATCTTATTCCTAAGAGGTTAATACTAGGTATTGGGGCTCACAAAGATAGGCTCTATGTTGATATAAGGGAGTCAACCCCAAGAGAGGAGTTTATTAAAGTCTGGGATGCAGGATTTCCGGAATTGCACAAAGAGCTGAAAGATATAGAGACAGGATTTAATAAAGGTTAGTAGAAGAAATTACTGCTGATAATTACAATACCCATTTCAAATTCGTCAATTAGTCAATAAAATTTACGGTTGAATATTCAAACTTTCTTAATATCAGCTTTAATATAATCTTAGGCGGTGCCTTCATTGATCCAACGAATAGAACAAGAGCATGCCAAACTCCACCTCTAGGATCCAAAGCATATTATATAAAATATTCCAAAGAAGAGTATTAATTTTATTTTTATTTTCTCAAAACATTAATCTTTCTACGCTATTAATATTGTTTTTCAATAAAATAGAGTACCAATTGTCCCTTTTCTTTTGTCGGTGCTAAAGAGTATTTATCTATAAATAAAATGAAGTTTATCAATTTGACGTATTTGTAATTCGTTATATTATTTATTACTCTTCTGCAGTTTTTGTAATCTTTAAATGTTGTTAATAGTTTTGATTTTTTTTTTATATTTGAATGTTTTTTTGTTTTTATATGAACTTCGAATTTATCACGTAGTTTTCATATCATGCTTACTATCGATAATTACAGCTCTTGTAATTCGGATTCTGGGGTTTCCGTTGTCTGTTCGTCAACTACCTCTGATCGTCAGAAGTCAGCTTCCGATCTTCTTAAACGATTGACTGAAGTCACAGGAAACGGACCGCTGGACAGGGCGACACTTAGAGACAAAGTCAACAAATGTCTGGTCTCACTGTGTGGTGGCTGCATCGGAAAAGGTAGCTTCCAAATTTGTCTTAGTAATATAAGTTTAAAGTGTCAAGTCATAGCAGAACCTTTTGGACAATAAAGTAGGTTGTATCCTTAAGGGCTATAGTAAAGCCAGAATTTGTAATTAACTTTTCTTCAAATGAATAAAAGGAAACAAATGTTTTTTTTTTTTTTTTAAATTACTCAAAAACACCAGAACTTTCCAATATGGAAGAAACCTAATGTATTGCTATCACAATAAATTGAGAACATTTAAATTATTTTCCCATTATTTCAGGGTGTTTTATTCGATTGATTGATTGTCGTGTTTGTACGTTCCTTGCAAGATTATTTCACTCATATGAATACGTCATCAAATACCGGTAAAAGGGCTTCAAATTTAGACCTTTACTTGGCACCAAGGGCAATTGAGCAGTGAGGGTTCTTGCTAACGCCTTTGGGCCTCAGTTTTTATTGTCTCATTCGAATGACCCTCTATTTTTCACTTCACGGTTTCTGAGCGCTAGATGAAGGAACACTTTCATCCTATTTTTCATAGATTCGGCAGCGGCCTGAACTCACGAAATTCCGACTACGGAGCAAGCGCTCTACCAACTGCTATAAGACATTTATCATAAAATATACCTTTAAACATTTTTTCCAACAAAAATTGAATTTAAGTCTGGATTTAACCCCCACCCACCCAGTCCTTTGCACTCCAAAACTCATAAAGCAAGGATAGGCCACAATATGAAGTTAATGCTTTACATAAGAAACTTTGAACTAAATTTTTTAAGTGACATCATGCATTCATTTCCTTCAGATAGTTGAAATCCTTGACTTTAAGTGGAGATTTCGTCCATCAGCTCGCTCCGTAATCGGAAGGTCGTGGATTCATACCCCGGTGGCGACTGACCTAAGTCCATAAAAAAAAAGGTAGCAGCTGTTCCTTCGCCAAGCGCACGACACTTTGAAGTGAATGTTGCGGGTCTTTCGGATGAGACCTTAAAAATGAGGCCCCGTGTTAGGACAAGCCTTTGCACGATATACTGTATACAGGGTTATTTTCGCCCTGTGTTATTTTCGCCCTTTCGCACTTGCGAACAATTTTGCCCTGTTTTAAATTCGCCCAGTCACAGTTCTGTTTAAGAAATGGTACTGTGTATTTTGAATTCGCCCCGTTTTAAATTCGCCCACCTGTGATTAGGGCGAAAGGGGCGAAAATAAAATGGGGGCGAAAATTTCCCTGTATACAGTAGATTCCTCACTGCTCAATGGCCCTGAGTGTCGAGTAAAGGTCTAAATTTGAAGCACTCCACCTGTAATGGTCATGTCTATATACGAGTGAAAAATTCTCAAACAGGGCGTATAACAACATACAATCAATCAATTAATTATCGGCACTTTTATTTGTCTGGTAATGAGAGGTAATTCTCATGAGCACTATGGTTGTTTAATTCAAGCTGTTATTACGAGCAATAAATAATTTTCACAAATGTTAAAATGTTCTTTTAACTACAATCAGCCAAAATATAAGGAACATTTGAAATAAGGTGTAGCATATGTGTTTCTTTCCTTAGCAAACTTTGAGTGTGGAAATTTTGCAATTCTTATCTTTTCCTCAAGGAAAAATATGGAAAGAAAAAACGATTGCATGTTTTGAACTAATGTCCTATTTCCTGGACGGATCATCAACTCCATTCCCAGACCTTAGAAACACCGGGGCGTTTTACAATACAGAAAACACAAAATCAGAGGTTCACTCCTTGGCGTGTCATGACGGAAGTGCATGTGTCGAAAATGTTCAGCTTCATTCTTTCCTCCGTAAGCAGATCTAAAGTATTCAATCTTATTGTATTCAATTCTAATTGAATCAGAAAATAATTCATGTAAATGATAAATACCAACATAAATATCTAATTTTATTTTTTTTTCTCTGATTTTATTTTGCCTTTTTATGCTTTTCTAAGGTTTTTAGCTCACCTGAGCCGAAGTGAGTTTGTCTGATAAATGGTGTCCGGCCTCCGTATATTGTATGCCATGTCTCATCTGTTAACATTTCATATTTTTGATTGATTGATTGATTGTATTTTGTTTACGTCCCATTCGAGAATTTTTTACTCATATAGAGACGTCACCACATACCGGTGAAGGGCTTCAAATTTTGACCTTTACTCAGCACTCAGGGCCATTGAGCAGTGAGGGTTCTTTATCATACCAACGCCTGCCGTGGCACGGGGCCTCGGTTTTTAAGGTCTCATCCGAAGGACCCGCAACTTTCACTCCAAAGTGCCGAGCGCATGGCGAAGGAACAGTTGCTACCTATTTTTATCGACCTAGATCAGTCGCGGCCGAAATTCGAACTCACCGCCTTCGATCACGGAGCGAGCGCTCTACCGACTGATCTACAGTGAACGGTGCATGTTTTGACTTCTTCTAATAAGTCACTAGGTCAATTTCATCAAATTTGACACAAAGCATTCTTGGGTGAAGGGAGTTCAACTCTGTTCAAATGAAGGGCCCAACCCGCTTTCAGGGAAGATGATTAAGAATTAGTGAAGAATTTAATGGCGTATTTTAAATCCTTCTTACGAACCACAAGGTCAGAAAAGACGAAACTTATTTGAAAGCTTTATTTCGTAGTGTAGATTGGATTTTGTTCAAAGCATGGCCCCAGGGATCAGGTCAAGCCACAATAGGCGATCAAAGATATATATGTATATAACAAAAAATCGTTTAATGTTTTAATGATATTTTGTAGTTAAAATGTATTCAACAGGAAACAATCCAATTAACGACACGATTGACCGAATCAGCCGAAATTCGTGCATCTGTAACATCACTACGTTAGTTTAGATACACAAATCTCTTTAAAAAAATTAATTTTAATGTACATTCTTCCTGAATGAAATAAAAAATAATCCGCATTTAATTTTTTTTTACCGTATATCGAATGTCGACTTTATACGGTTCGAAATTTATAGAGCGCATTTCGTATCCTGTTCTGACGAAAAGGCAAGTTACACGCGAATGCAGCTCAATGCTTTAACTTTGTGCTGAAACTTTGTGAATTTAGAAAGATTTCGATAATTAAAGAACATGTTTTATAAATAAGATTTTTAAAATAACTTCTTAGATTTTTAATAAAAATAGAGGGAATTCTGAAATATGTTGAGTTACAGTATATATTATAGTCAGGTACATATAATAAGCTTGTCTGTTTTGCTATGCAATGAAATCTTGGACGTCAAGTCTCAACTCTGATATCTCGACACCTCGGATATCTCGACATTTTCCGATGTTCCCGTCGATGTCGAGATAACGAAGTTTACCTGTAATTGTGTATGCATATGTATTTTTTTTTGTTTTGTTTTGCCTTTGTTATTGTTTTGCGAGTATGCTTTTCCCGTAATATGTTACTTTTGAAACATACACACATGTATATTTTATGTAAATTTTGTTTTAGAGGAAACATTAACAACTAAGTACAAACCAAGCCCTTCAGAGACGAACGAAGAACTCTTGTACGATCCCGCTGACAATCCGTCTCCTTTGCTTGATATTTTAGAACAGGAAATGGCAATGAGGGTTTCCGGAAACGTGTCAGTTTATATTGAAAGCAATGGAGATGTTTCAAAACTAAATCACATACTAAAGGTAAACCCTTGAACAAGCTCATTCCGAATTTAAATTTCTACAGTGAAATATATGGATATAACGAACAGCATTCATGCTCAAAAGTCTATTAAACAATTCAAAATAGGAGCAGAGCAAACACAGACCTCCAAAACATCAGAGGTGGGATTAGGTGCCATGGAGGAGTGAGCATCCCCTTCCGACCGGTCACACCCGCCGTGTGCTCCTTGTCATGATCGGGAAATTACGGAAAAATCCGTCGACAATTCAGTGTGTAAATACATTACTAAGTCAGAAACGTACTGACATTCCCATTTTTTACTGATAAACTTAGACAATTACTGACCATGTGCTGTCTTTACTGCAAAACTTAGACAATTACTGACCCTTTTACTGCCGGTGCTGATAAACTTAGACAATTACTGACCCGGTTTACTGTCCCTGCTGAAAAATTTAGACAAGTGCTGACATTTACTGATAAGTACTGTCCCTATTGTTCTCGCTCTCGGGGAGGCTGCAGTGGTGTGAAAATGTTTGTGTGTATTATACTTTCAATTTAGAAACAGTCTTAATTTAATTTTAATAATATTCTGAAATAAAGTGCAAGTTCAAAGACAGTTAAAATGTTTAAACTAACATTTTTTTTTATTGATATCTGTAAAATAATTCATAACGAATACGATGTTCAATGAATTATGCATGAATCAAGTTTAAATAATTATTGTGTGGAATAATTGTACTTTATCTTTATCCCTGTTAAATGTAAATAAATAATTAATTAACAAACTGGTTTTCATTAATTCATACCATCGCAGGCGTATGCTTAATATGCCCCTTTTTAATGTATTTTAACGTATTGATTCCAGTTTACATCGATCGGAAATACATGTTTGTTATTTTTTTTAATCAAGTAACAGGAAAGTACATTTTCAGACTTTCTTTGAACTTGTTGAAAAAAAGCAGTTCCTCTTCACGGAAGGTAACAATTGCCTATAGAAATTGTTAAAAATTATGTCTATGATGGAAATTGCGGTGGCTAATGAATTAGAGTGCAGAAGGACTGATGGTATAAAAATCTTGAATAGATGTTCGATAAAATTTGAATTCTCAGTCGTATTCAAGTAATTTAAATTACTGTTATATATTTATGTTAGTCGTATTAAAATAATACTGAAGAATATAATTTATTCATGTAATGAGTTAAATACAGTGATAGGCAGCACTCATATTAATTATTTTTCTTTCTCCTTATAATTTTAAGACGTTCAGGGAATCGTGTTAATGCAACGCTTCTTTTCTTTCTTTTCCAATGTTTTGAAACAAAGGCAAATTTTAATGTGTCGATCTCATATTTCAGAGGATTCTTAAACTGCTTTTGATTTACGCAATGAAACCATATTTTCCTAAATAATCTTATGAAATAATGAAAATTGCTGATTCGTCCGGCGCCTTCTCTTTTATTCGTTTACCTTACACATCCTAAAGCAAGATACGTTTTTGTATATATTTTAATAACATGAAATTTTCAGTGGTCAGTTTAACAATAGGCCCTCATTGCGTATTGTTCCACGTATGCACTGGACCACTGGTGTAAGGAGTAAATATACAAACTGATTGACCACTCTGCATGCTCAGAGCAAAACTGAGTTGATCTTAGTTTCACAAATTCTCTATCAATTAAATTAAATATATCATAAATCTGGTTGATCGCCGAATTAAAAAAAAATCGTTGAAATGAACACCGAAGTACACTTATTACTGTTGTAGACTACTTAATCTTAACTTCAGCGGTCGATGTTGTTTCCCTCAGTGTTTCAGAGTTTCTTTTAAGTAATTCCAATGTGTTTAAAACATAACAATTTTATTCATGATATTGCAACATGAAATGGATCAATCGCAACTTCTCGGGCCTTTCCGACTAGCGGAAAAACAACTTCGAATGTATTAGGTATACGCCATAATAACCAACCTTTTCACAAACTTTGAAAAAAATGTTGGAAGACCTCTTATCTGTGGAGTATAGAATTTAACTTTATTGAATGTAAGAGAGAATTCACGAGAAAGATCCCTCACTGCTCAATGACCATGAGTGCAGAATGCAAGGTCGAAATGTGCACGAAAATGATCCCTCGCTTAATAACAATGAGTACAGTATACAGGTCGAAATTTACACGAGAAAAATCAATCACTGCCTAGTTTTAGAAACTTTAATTGTTGGACATCTTGAAACAGGATAATGGCAGAATATATTTATGCCTGTATATTTACACAAAGAAACTTGTCCTTTAGCAAATTATGAAATTAATGGGGGGGGGGGGGCTACAATGTTTTGCGATTTTATTTTCACCAAAAGGCGCTTCATACCTACATGTATTATTATTCTCTATCATTTTATTTTAATTGTTAGCATTTTAATTTTAAGGGGTATGTGAGTTCTTAATAAATGCAAATTTAGTTTCTGTGTACTCAAGCGACAATTCAAGCGAAGGAAAGAGCTTGACTCGTGATTTGGTAGAATTCCGTTAGGTACATGTAAATGTTATTTGTCGGTGATTTCAGATGTGCAGACAATTTTAGGATAGTACGGGTGAACTAGAGCAGAGCTCGTTGCAAAGCAACGAGTAGGTCTTCCGTTGGAGCTGCGAACAGGAAGAAGTGACCTTGAGTCAAGGTCATGCCACATTCTAAGGTTATAAGCAATCTTGTAAGGGGTATCAACTTGCAATGTCTCACCAGTAGAAAGACAGTTAAGGAATGTTGTTTCTCCGTTGATGACCTTGAACTCGTTCAAATGACCTTGCATCAAACCATGACACACTCTGGTTATAAGAAAACCCCATCTATGTGTTACCGACTCGACAAGTTAACACATGTTCTTTCAGACCATTCATCCAGTCAAAACATTCTTTCCTTAGTGACCCTTAATTTAATCAACATGGCCGTAGGAACCGAGGGGGACGTGCCCCCCAATAATTTTGCCGATATATAGATTACTATAGTAGACATAGATACTATAGCTTGTGCCACCTCAATAAAAACGTCTGATAACCTTCTTTTTTTTTGCTTGTCAAGGAATTTTTGGTAGTTGGTGACCCTTTTTTTTTTTTTGCTTGTCAGGAAATTTATGGTAGTAGTGCCCCCTCAACTGTCAACTGAAAATGTATGGCTGTGCCCATCCCCCCCCCCCCCCCGAAAAAAAAACTGAATTTGCTTCCTATGGGCCTGATCAAGGCAATGATACACTCTGTATGATATCAGCGATACCCTTTTGTGTGTTTCGGACTTGACAAGTTCACAGTTTGCATTTATTGCATGATAGTGAGGGAGACATGAAGATTTCTTCGCCCATAAAAAATCAAATTCCGCGAGGGCAACATGAAGATTTCTTCGCCCATGAAAAATCATACTCCCCGAAGGCAACGCCCGAGGGAAATATGATTTTTCATTTGCGAAGAAATCTTTCTGTCTCTATTATGCAATAAATTGTTTATAATACCGAATTAACCAAAATGCAGGAATTACAAAGGAGATCCAATGAATAAAGCAAACATGCATTTGATGAGAACGATATGAAAGAGAAGTAAGTTACAGGTACACCAATAGCCTCGTTTCATTAAAAAAAAAAATCCTACGTGACAAGTTTGTGTGATCACACCAGTAACATTCAAACACCATTACATTTTTACACATTTAAATCGACACAATCAATCAACGATAATATGTTGACGGTGCGACCGTTGGGCGAGTGCATTGTTCACTTAATTTTAAGATCCGCCTCTTCAAACAGCACGAGACATTTGGAACGTCTAGACTGTGACGTCTCATGACGTATGTTAGCTGTACTTCCATAAACGAATTTTGAAAAGTGCAAACATTTTAACAAAGAATGTTTAATCTACTATCTGTATGCAATTCCATTAATTAAGGTGATTTTTTGGGGTGAATTTTTAGTTGTTGTTACCGCGCGAACGAGGTTAGCAGCGTCGCTATAAACAATCTAACTCCTCACTCGTTTAATTGTGACGTCACAATCGTGAAACACGACGTTTTGTTGCAGGGCAAACATGATGGACACGTGACTTTCTCGGCCAATCAAATTCTATTTTACTAGTGATTTTTCACTTGTAAGCTAGTTTTCACAGAGGTATAATAAACGTTTTTTTAGACCATACATCGAAATAAATTATCATAATTTCTATAGTCATAATTTATTAGGTTCAACTCACTGCTTTAAAGGATCATTGTAAATGTTTTATGCCCGATTTGGATACTGAACAACGTGTGATTTTTGAAACACTGATGCCCCCATATGGCATCTTATGGCAAAAGTTAAAGTTTCTCAAATGCAAGTCAAACTCCATGGTCAAGATCAAAAGATAAAAAAAATGTTATTACCCAAATAAAGGTCTTGAACAAAGAATATACTGTGAAATATATACTAGTATGAAAGCCACAGCAGCAACAGTTTAAAAGTTATTGCCAAGGTTAATTTCTTTAAAAGGTCAAACTCCAAGGTCAAGGGATCATAATTGTTTGTACTTAAGGGAAGGTCTTAATTGTTACAAGGAATACACATATGGTTTTAAAAAAGCCTTAGCACCAACTGTTCAAAAGTTAAAACCAAGGTTAAAGTTTTTCAAAAGTAGGACATACTCAAAGGTCAAGGTAAAATGGTCAAAATTAAAGGTATACAATGACAGGCCTTGTCACAAGAAAAGTACCTATGTAATATAAAAGCCCTAGTACCAGTCATTCAAAAGTTATTGTCAAGGCTAAAGTTGTTTAAAAGTTGGTCAAACTCCAAGATCAAGGTCAAATGGTCAAACATATTTATACCCAAGGAGGAGACTTATCACAAGGGATACAGATGTGAAGTATAAAAGCCATAGCACCAACTGTTCAAAAGTTTTGGCCAAGGTTATAGTTTGGTAAAATTTTACAAAAGAGGATCAAACTCCAAGTTCAAGGTCAAGAGGTCAAATATGTTGGTACCTGAAGGAAGTCCTTGTTACTACGAATAC